TGCCTTAGTACAAGTTTGTTTTACGTTGAAAGTAATCGAAACGAAACCTCTTCCAGCGCTCTGATTGGTTGGTTCATTGGAGCCGGCCAATCAGAACGGCGAACGCTTACTCGTTTCGATTACTTTAAAAGAAATGGAAATTCGTATTAAGGCCTCTGTTATATTGTCTATATAAGGCCTATGTATTGATTTTTTTGACCAACATATTTATTTTACAGGACAAAAAAACTAAGAATTTGTGCTTAAGATGACATTGTATCATTATTTTGGTGATTTATTCCAATTTGCTAGTTTCGTCCTGAATCTAGTTGGCATTTAACTACGTACAGGAAATAATACGCTACAACATTAATTATCATATAATTAAATATAATTTTTTTTTTAAACTACAAAAACATATTATCGTTAGATGAAATTATATAGGTTGTATTACTTTTTAACATAACATAAACACGGTGTTCAAGGAACCTCTTTATTCAAAATCAACTCAATGTTTATTGAAGCGGAAGATATTAACAATGGTCTACCACAGTTCCATGTAATGTTATTATCAACAAACTAGCGATTTCTACAAAACAGTTTTGTATGTCATATCTTTTAATCAGTATCAGTATCGAACTCAGTAGATGTTAGTTAAATAATTTTATAATTATGAGCAATTTGCATTATTATAATTTCTTGTAAAATCTCTGGTTATTTATTCGATAATTATTTTTAGTGTTATAGCTGTCAATAGAATCCGATGTGAACTTGTAATTTTAATTGTATAATACTTCAAGAAATACTTATTAGATTTCAATAATTCTTAAATAATATATTTAGTATAATAGAATAAAATAGATCCTTTTAAAAAGTAGATAGGTATAAGAAACTTGATATAAAAAAAATAGTAAAAAACTAACAACGATATTCTGTTGTTCTGTGAAAATATCTAATTTCCGGATTGCGTCGTCGGATCCATTTCAAACAAGAATGTAAACATCACGCGTTTGTTCAAGTTCTAAACATTAGTGATTAGCGTATTGTACAGCCTGGCAGCAAGTCAACCTAATTCAATCTATTTAGATTTTTCACTGAACCTTCGACTTTATTTCAAAACTAATAAGTTCTTAATCGAATAAAGAAAATCGACACTAACTATACAAAAAATAACATTGCAAATTGTCCTTGATGACTTTATTTCCCTATTTCCTACTATATTTTCTATAGTTACTTCTATATTGATCTATTTCTTCCATAATTTATTAAGTACTTTTATTTTCGAAGTATTTTTTTATCAACGGTTTTAATGAGCTCTATTCTACGAAGCAAGCCCTTTCGTTTGTTTGGTATACTGATATATAAAGACAGTATCATTATTTTTCTGGTCATCAAGATCAAGAGTGTGTACCAAATGTCAGATCGATCTGTGACAAAAGACCAAAACAAACAAACATAATAATATGGTACTTTTAAGTGTGAAATTTGTTTAATTTGTACTCTGTTTCACTCTTTAGTTAATCATACATAACTTAAAATAATGATTACATTTATTAAATAACTGTTATGTGCCATTGACGGCATTTTCTGTCATTGTTTCTCCAAATTGGTCTGTTGCCAGATTTTGAAGTCTACCAACTACTACATTATTATTAGATTATTTATTTTTAAGTAATGTATAATTGTTAGTGATGTCTGTCAAGCCTTTAGTGAAATGTCTCGCAAACTTCTTTTGAGTCTTTACTTCCGCATAGCAACTTGTGTACTGTTTCAATTTTGTAACACAAAGAACTACTGTTCTACTTCACAGAATCAGTTATTTATGTCACTCTGCTCTATGGAGATTTAGTTGCAATCCTCGTCAAATGTATGTTTCAAAGTTAATTATTATGACTGTGAAATTATCGATAACAATCTAAAATTAAGAAAATATTTTGTAGCTGTTTTTGAAGCAAGTCAGTATGCAAACAAGAGTGTAAGAGAAGTTTTGGTAAAATGTCCATTTACGGCCGAAATTAATAATCTAAAATCTCTAGCGGTCATATTCTATAATCTATCTATCGGTAAGCAAATCTACAGATTGGGCTCGCTGCCATTGCAGCGGTAAGACCCCTCTTTGAGGAGTGGCTTGAGAGACGCTACGGCGTCCTCACCTACCGCCTGACGCAGGTCCTCACCGGACATGGAAGTTTCGGGAGGTACCTGTGTCTGATGGGGCGGGAGGAAACGCCCGGGTGTCATCACTGCGAGGACCGCCCTGAGGACACGGTGGAACACACAGTGGGAGAATGCCCTGCGTGGGCTGAGCACCGCCATGCCCTCAGGGAAGTGATCGGCGATGGCGACCTCTCGCGTCCGGGCCTAGTGCAGGCCATGATGCGGAGCGAGGGGGACTGGGATGCCGTCTCCTCCTTTTGCGAAGCAGTCATGCTAGCTAAGGAGGAGGCGGGACGCGTGAGGCAGCGAAGCGCTGCCTCCTCGCAACCCAGCCATCGCGAAGGACACACCGGGCGTCGGGGATCGCGGGACGATCTCCGGCCACCGTAAGCGCGGGCCTGCGGACGGCGAGCATGGGTGGCTCCCCGTCCGACCAGAAACAGACCCGAGCGTACGGCGCGTCGCGTTCCGCGCGCGCTTCAAAGAGCCATCAGACCACCACAGATGGGGCCCAATAGGGCCGATGCCGATTCGGAGTCGCGGAGAACCTAACGGGTAACCGGGGCTCCGGCTCGACGTGCAGGAGAAGGAACGGGGTGGTTTTTAGTCAGTAAGAGTCTGACACTCCCTTCCGCCTCACCCAGGCGGGAGCAGTCATTCGATGATTTTCCCCCCTTAAAAAAAAAAAAAAAGCAAATCTACAGATAGATAGGTTATAGAAAATGACCGTACAATGATCTAGGTTTTTGACAACTAATGTCAAAACTGATCCTAATCCTACGGTATATGAGCAGACAGATCACCTGATGATAAGTAATCGGTGCCACCCATGAACATCCGAAAGACCAGTAAAGTTACAAGTACGTTACCGACCTTTTGGGGGTAAAGGATTTGAATATTGGGGCTTCGGGCATTGGGGAGATTGGGGTAGATGGTAATTAGGCCTTCGGTAACCTCACTTTCACCACAAACCTAACGCAAGCGTTGTTTCATACCGGTTTCTGTCAGACTGCAGTATCACATTGGTCTAGTCCACCTATTCATACCGAACCATGGTGTAGGAGAGCCCACACCTAAATAACTATGAAAAATTCTCGGATTTATAAAACAAGTACAGCATACATAACATCCTGTATCGATTACAGTCTAGGCTACAGTTTGACTTAAAAATTAAGTCGAAGGAAATGTTTATTACCATCAATTTAGGTACGTTTGTCTTCTCATTCTACACTACAGTCTACAGTCGATTTCCTACTAAACGCAATAAAAATAATACAAAGTTATCAAATGTATCATATATCTTATCATCTAGGATATACATATACACATATCTTTTTCTAGATTATTCTTTGGAAGTCCATTAAATATGTCCGGTGTGTATAAAAATATGCATGACGATATTGACGATGTAATCCTGATGTAAGTTGTCAGCAGTCTGACAGTTAGAAGCGATAACAAAGTGAATGTTAAAAGAGAGTAATAAGCGCCTGTTCTGGTACCTAGAGCTATTTGAGTCAGACATCATCTGTTGATTGATCAGTTTCATTGAGATAACTGTTTTTCTTTACCGTACTTGCTTTTTTTATATTAACGTACACAATTATATCAAGAAATTGAATTAACAACACAATGCTAACTGGCTTGTAAATAAATACTATGGGCTAAACCATTTGACGTCAGAACTGTGTCATGCTATTATCAACACGTGTCACACATTTGATAACTACAATAAGAGTGTGTATGTGTGCAAGTGCAAAGTGCTACTTGCATTTATGAACATTTTTGGGTTTAAAATTAAATTACTTGATGAGAACCTTGGCGAATCCAAGCTTCACTTACTGCGGAAGTGCCGAAAACATTACTCCAAGCTATGGATTGATCAGGATTTTTGACAGAAATTATAAACTAGAAGGAATTGTTGATTTAGAAAATAGAAATAAAAACCACTCATCCCTAGTTATGGTTGAAGTCTAGTGCTAAATGGTATTAACAAGGTTGTGTACAGAAACAATTGTTTTTCAATAATAAAGTTATGCTTCATGTTATGCCTATAGATTTCCGTTTGTACCACATGATTCGGTGTTTTTATTTATTGGTTTTAAATGACTTTATTTATTGCGTTGCAGCAAAAGCGGTTATCATGTCGTATAGTAGAAGGATGTTGTCATTTACCACGAAGTCACTCCTCGTTGTACGACGTACAGAGTGCACCATATATCCTAAAGTGCAATAGTTTCGTGTCACATTCGAGCATCTTAATCACCCTCCAGTGTTCTGGTCTAATTCCATAATAAATTCTTTTAACACGACTACTTTCACCTTCGCTCACATTGCTAGAATACCAACACGAAGTAGGTACGGTTACTAACCAGTACGCCGCGCCAGTAGCCCTGTCCTATCGCAAATCACAATACGTATGGGGCGAGCCCCCAGTGAACTTGTATATCGACCTGAACGCGCCTTCATTATCAGCTGTTTAGCTGCCCGTACCACTGTACACGAATTCTTACTGATTTTACCACAGCGCCGACTCCGCGAACGACATGGAGAGCGTACGTAGCGAACCTTGGTATCGGGGGCTTGGTATTCGTCTACCACTCAAAACCGGTGGCACGCGGTTCTCTACCCGATCACGATGACGAAACTATATCGTTCGTCGTGCCGTCGTGCAGTTCACGTCGAGCGCTCAGTGTGAGGCTGTCCGTTGGCCAAGTTAGACGCGTGATCGTTACGCCCCAGCCGTACGCACACTCGAATTTAAATATACGATCTGATAAAGTTCCAAAGAAGAAAATCGTCTGTGATCCTAATATTAGATAGTTTAATTATATTTGTCTTATTTGCAACACTGTAAACTAGATAAAATGTCTCTGGAGATGGAGGAGTTAACTGTAACCACCGGCGATGTCTTCGAGGATTTCCTGATCGTCTTTCGTCGATGTTTGGCAAAGGTAAATGCATTCTAAATTCGGGTTAGCTAGGACAGCTAGTCGAGTCGATGCCAGTCATTAAAGACATTGCATTGAGAACGGGTCCACAGTTTAAACTTTCAATTTTGCAAATATGGATATGGAGTCTTACGGTGACGCATGGGAATGGTTGTTGAAGGTAGGACACATTATCTGTCAGTCATTCTTAGTTTACATAAGTACTTGCAATTTGGAACGTTTTCAAATTTCAGAAATAAAATTTAGTATTGCATGCAAGAAAAATCAAATGTCCCGCTATTTGAAGTATCGTGCGGTCTCTGTCACTCGCGACGTATGCGTTCAGGAATATCCATTAACGGCTTATAGCGGGAAACACGTGTCGTAGCGGAGTTTGGTTATACTACCAATGTGGATTTCCTTTCCTTTCGGCCGACTGATAAAATGACTCACACGTTACTCAGCTTGACTTATAAATTAAGAGTAGTCCATTATTGCCTATCAAATGTTAATGTTAATACAACCTTGAAAGCGTGGCATTTAACGTTGCCTAGGTAACAACGGGCATGCGTGGGGGCACTGATGTCTTATAAATTACGTTTAATGACATTTTTGACTGATATCTACACAGTCTATACTGTCACTATGGTTACTGAATTTATCTTTAGCTTGAATGTTCATAATTGTAATTGCACATACAATCAAATATGTATTCATCATTATCCTACATTCCATGCTGGGCGTAGGCGCCGCTTTGCGAATTTTGATGAACTTTCTTTGATGACTGCTAACTTTCACTTTTCTCTATGTGTGTATAATTTGGTTTTATCTTATTTTCTCCTCCGTCATCATTACACCTCTCGAACAGAAAGTTGGACATCATTCCTTGCCATTCTATCTGCTCATCGTACATTTAGATAAAATTTATTGATTGATGCAGTTATACAATCTACAATGATTTGCAGTTTTAATAACTAATAATATAGCTTATCTTGAAAAATAAAATAGCTGCAGCGTACTAAATCGACACACCCACTTATTTTTTCATAGCTATGCTCAAAATGCGCTGCGCGTGAGTCTTAATTTCCTTTTATTTCAGTATGTATGTTTTGAGATCCGGTTCAGAATAGCAGATATCTATCCAGTAACACACTAATTATAATAATTTTCCTACGTTATTACTTATTATTATAGTTTTGGTATCCACAGTCTTTCCACTTATATTTTTGTTTTTTGTTCTGGAACTTTCTAGAAACTTACGTTTATATCCTGTCTAGGTGTTGCCTGACTTTTAACAACGATGTAATTAGTAACTAATACACAAAATACTTAATAATATTTATTAGGTTTGGTTTCCAACGTACTTTTAGCTTGCTATAGCGAATTATATTGACCGGTAATGTCAAGTAACTTGCCAGCGCCCAAACGCATGCCCTACATAACACAACAGGTACAACACTGATAATGTCTATCAGTTTAATAAATAACTTCGATAACTATTCGATTTTGTGTACTATATTCGATCTATACGGTTTACTAGCATAGACTCTACATAAACTCGATACTCAATATATCGATTTGTTATATTCAAGACACACGAATAGAAATCGAACTGTTATCGATTGTATTGTAACGTCATCAGGATGTAGTCGCGTCAGTCACTGATATCACATGAATCTAGGACGAGTGTCATTAAAATGTAAAGCATAAATACATACGAGTATATTAATCAAGCCCAGTACCATAGTTAGACGCTAAAAATTAATATTATGTATAGGAAAAGGGTGCATACACAGCCTATATAGAAACGTATGTTTTTCTTTTTACCTTACATACGGTATACATATATATACATAGGTACATAGGTAGTATATAAATAAATAATAATGTCACTGGAATTACCAGTATACTGAACATAAAAATTTACAACGAAGTTTAATTCTGAACACACTGCTATTATCATCAGTTAACTTAAACTCATATCACAGAATTTATAAGTTTATTATTCATATCACTGTTATTTTGAATTACATCATTCTGATAGCGACGTTTTCCTATTATTATTATTCATAGTAATTTCAATAATAAAGTATTTTTATATGCAAAGTCCTGTTTCTTATAAGTAAGTTCTTACTTCACTACAGCGTATATTCAAAGAATTATTCAATGTTAAAAACTAAAAAGAAAAATATTAAAACATTGTAAATGTTTGTTATGTCCAGGGTCGAATATCGCGATTTTGTCAATTCCAGACTAAAAATATCCAATAACACTTATTTTGTATTGTTGTGGTGATGTAGTCGATACCTATTACTTTATGTGTATCTGTGGTATGCTTCATCGAAGTCGCAAACGCATGCCTGGCGATGACGCGTCATTCGCAAGTATTGCGTCACGTCACCAAAGGCGCCAAACGACAATCATTTAACGCGTCGGGGAAATCCTAATAATATATTGTAGGACACACATCCTTATCACAATGATTCACATTTTCCTGTACAAGAATTTTTTACACGTCGATTATATTTTAGACTCTACGTAACAACGGTTAATTATACATGCTCTCGTTCGGAGCGACGTCAAGATCTAATTTTAAAATTATCAGGGTCTAGGCTAATGGCTGTTTTAAAATATTTTGCCTGAAATTGGGCCATTTTTATTTTTTAATCTCCATCCTGACGTAAGCTAGACGCAGACAGACAAGCGAGGCATAATTTACTGCACAGTAAACAATCACGTGCGTAAATAATGGTTTAGATATAAACATAATAGGAATGATAATAAATGTAAGCGATTGGAGCGTTAACAACTTATGTTTTCCAAAGATTTAAAATGTTTTATACGGCATGGTGTGAAATATCTCACTTGACACAGTACGAGTTCCATGCCATAATTTAATATCTATTGGAAAAGTTAACCGAATTGAACCTTACTATTTTGTGTCTGAAGCTCTGAACATTGTTTATGACAATGATAGGTCGGTAGGTCCCACGGTAATCAATTTCCGCCTGTTACTACATGTGCCTATGTAATTAAATTCATTCTTTCTGCACTCACTGTACATGTGATAACATATTTACGTTTAGTTAATATTTAATTATAACACGCATACACACACATTCATGTATATGTAAAGTCTCGACTCTCGACATTCAGTACCCTCTGCCTAAACGCAGTTTCTAAGAATGAGATAATTTTTAGACGTGTAGGTAGTAGGTAGGTATTAGACAAAAATGTTCCACGTTTTCTATACGGAATTACGGACAGACCTAAATAGATGACCCATATTTAATGTTATCTTTGTGACTACGCCACGTCTCAATATGTGATAGGTGTGAGCCAAAAACACTTGTTGGCTTACATGGTCGTCATTAAATGCCAAAAGAGGTATTCCATAACAATCCACCATCAAATACATGAATTATAATATTTACGTGTGTGTTTTCTGTATATACATATAACCTGTAGATACGTACAATGTACACAAGTTATTGACCTTAAAATAAACTGATGTATTAGGATCATCACTGAATAACATGACACTGAAGTACATCATGACGCGCTACTTATATACATATAAAACGTAACATTTGAAATTACGTAACCATCATTTGAAATGGTACGTAAAGCAGTGTTAGTGTTGGACTCATTGCATTGTTTTAAAAACACAGGCGAGTGTATCAAAATATGTAATTCATGATGACTTACAGTACGCCATTATTTTTATTCCGTCTGCCAGTTTTACCGGATAGATAAACGTAAACGCCGCGCGTTGTTAGTGATTTTCTACGAATGTGCTTAATGACCTTATCTAAATGTCGTGACTAATGATGATAAAATTATTTTTGGCTATCAAATGTCACTTACTTATTATCATTAATTTTGTAACATTCACATCGGAATTGATATTCCAAATGGCAAAGGCTATATTGACCTTTAATTATTATTGCCCGCTCGGTGGTCATACGAGGATATCGTTTTTGATGTATTTTTATATTTTATACCCTGATTATTCTGAAAACCGGTTAGGTTGCAAGTCAATGATCCTACTCGAGATGTTTCTGTCAAGGGCGGTCTCCTATGAAACAGGTGCTCTTATTCACCAGGAGCCCTCAAAAGGTCAAATAAAACTTGTTAACTTGTTTTTCTTTTGTATACCTTATACATAAGTATAACTGTAACCAACTGAGTGTTAATGGGTAACAAAGTTTACCATTTTTAAATATTTTTATAATGAAAAGTAATTGATGGAAAAGGAAGCGTTTTTGACATTCTGAAAGCCATGCAGTGGGTGGGCCAATGTCACTATGACGTAATAAGTACAAGACGTTCTCCATTCCGACGTTTGATGGTACAAGGCCAACAAGAGGCCCGTGTCTTTCATTATATGCACGTGAATGACTTAAATGCCTTCCTCAAACAGTCAGCTACAGTCTTCGCAAAGAGAAATTGAAAGATTATATTTTTCTACCTTACAATAATAATGATTTATTTTTATTGTTACTCTTGTAGATAAATCTGACGTTAATTGACGATAAATAGAATAGCAATATTGCAAGGTCTTCCTTGATCAGAAGAAAAATTAATAGAAACCTACCTAATTTCATTATTTGCTGGCAGTACCTAGATGTACCTAGGTATATAAACGTCACTTTTACTTATATAATTCTACTTCCTTTTTTGTTACTAACTCTCAAACTCTAAATTACAATGTAAAGTCGAAAGTAATTATTTGTTTCGTTTTTAAAACTTTGTTTTATCAATGTCGCTCATTTTTCATTGAACATTACCTGTATAAAGAATGTTTTAATTCAATAATTTAAAAGGTTTTTATCATTAACCTTGTAGCACACCGGCGTGTTAGGCAATAAGTCTCAAGTCTCAATCGAATGCAAACCCACAGTCTGTTCACCACCCTTGACACCATTTGTCTACCAAGCCCACAGTTTCAACTTGCAATTTTCGTTACAAACTTAAACCAATTTATTAATTAGATTTTGCTTCAAAACGCAGCGATGACCTTGCTATTTAATTTACAATCACATCATCAGTGAAATTGGAATGTTTTTGTATTTTGAGGGTGCAGCTTCGAAACCTGACAAGTACCAATGTGGTTGGTTTTGGTGACTCTCTTTAGACACTACGGTAGTGTGACTGGTCATACAACACAACCATGGTGCCCTAATGAAGAAGGCTAACAATACTATTTTTATTCTTAGGTTCTCTTTCAATTAGATATCATGTTATGTTCTATTGAATGGGTTTATGTAAAAATTGCCTACATTAGTACAGGATAATCTTTAGCACTATTATCCAAGATTATGTTAGTCCATAATGTTTAGGTAAACTGTCATACACGTCATGGCAATACCGTTAAAAAGGTTTCTTGTAAAACCGAAGCATAGGAAATAATTGTAATTGTAACGACGTGAAGCAACGCTTGCGTTGTGTTACGTCGTGTGAGTGAGGTTACCGGAGGCTCAATTACCCTCCCCTTCCCCAATCTCCCCAATCCCTGAATCCCCAACGATCATCAAACTCCTAATCCCCAAAAGGCCGGTAACGCACTTGTAACGCCTCTGGTGTTCCAGGTGTCCATGGGCGACGCCGATTGCTTACCATCAGGTGATCCGTCTGCTCGTTTACCGGATTATACCATAAAAAAACCGTATTAAAAATCTACAATCTGTGAAGATTTTAGCGTCCCTAGTTTATTGTGACTAAGTGAAGCACGCGTTCAGGCGTCTTTTGAATGTTTATCAGTTCCTAATATGTATGAAATTAATTAATGAGCTGTCTTCGTTGTGACGTCACTACATCGTCGAGTGAATTATTTTTAGGTCAGTGCTTGCGTTGGCGTGTGACGACATCCATAGTCCATACCATTTACTCTTCGACGGTATCGATAAGGATCGATGGTTTTAATTAATCTACACGTGCTGGCTAAATTATACTTGTATACGTAGCTACATTATAACATAGTACACCAGTATTAAGCTGACTGTTATGTATAATATGAATAGGAATTTATTATCTACATACATATTACAGATGATTAGAAAGTAAAAGCAATATTTGCCTACTTAAATAAATTTAGTGGTTATGCAATTTTATATTATTTTTTATGGCAAGTTTGGCCACTTTACGGTCACGTGATGTTTTGTACTACTAGAGAAAGTGAATCCGACTAACATCGAAGTATAATTTTTAAGAGAAAATAAAATAAAATCCTCACAATTTATCAAGAATTACTATGTGAATTACAGTTTATACCGAATATTTATACACTTTAAAGTTAAACCAAGGTTTTAATTCATTTTCACCACAATGGAACAAATAAAAGTAATAAAACTTTTTGAAAACTCCGTCATACTGTGCCGTCACAATAATATTAAAAATGAAAATTAAAAAAATAAACGTCAGTTTACTTGACGTCTTTGACGTAACCGGTCCGTCAAGAGCTCATCTTTGACCATAAAACAATTCAAAATAACATACAATGATTGTTTTCTGACTTCAGTAGTCTAAATTATAACGAAAATGAAAAGGACGACAAAGTTTATGCTTAAATTTATCGTTCACACAGGCTTTCTCAAGACTAATGCGATGCATTGGAGACTTTATGTCACTCTTATAACAGTAATCATGGACTGGAATATAAAAACGCTTTGCCACTTCAAAAATGCAGCGGTAACTATTAACCATAGGTGCCTTCATCTGCAACCTGCAATAGATCATCCAATTTATAGGTATATGCTAGCCGTTCGTTGTAAACAGTGGTCCATCTCATACTCCTTACGTAGCATGTATGGTTTGGTGATGAGGTTTACTTTCAAACTTCTGCTTTCTGCTCCACACAAAGTATACGTAGAACTGAAATATGCCTATAAAGCTCAGGTTTGAAGCAGTAACAAAAAAGTTTATTTTATTGAAAATTACACAAAGTTGTGTTAAAGTCTATTATCGAATGTAATATCACAAAAACGATACACGTGTGCTGTACGAGCGCTTGTTATCCGGTAAAAAAGGATATATTAAAGCGCTGTACGTATATATGGACGCGGCTAACTAAGTACTTACACCTTTCTACATACTTTGATGAGAAATATGCATGTGTTATTCACAAATGTACCATGTACTGTTCTCTAATTTCCACATCTCACGGCTGTATAGGTATTTAGTTATTAATAATTGATATATAAATTAATACTATCATTGTTATCACGGCAGACTGAACAACTTAAATATTCGACAACAATATGGTACCAGAAAAAGGAGGAAAAAGAAGAGGAGAAAGAAGAACCGGAACCTATACCAGTGTAATATCGTGACTGAGTCAATGTCATACATAATGTAATAGTAGTCTGTTGGTGACTGTGTGGATGTTACGGGTGGTGACTGTACAGTGTATAGGCAGCCTGCAAGTCAACCTACTACATTAGATTTTCAACTCTATGATTCAGATATAAAGTCGAAAATCCATTGACAAAAATTTTGACACATTGGCGTAGGTTGATACGCCGGCCACTACCTACTTTCATTGATATTATCTTCATATATTGTAGAACAATCTTTAGAAGATTATGTTTTTACTATACTTACGGAAGGACTCAATATTTCTTAGCGCCAAGCACCTAAGACTCATATCCATTATATGTAGAAATATAGACAGATCCATTCGGTCTATCTATATCGTGAAGCTATACGAATATATGAAATGGTTGTGCACAAGTACGCGTGACGTATAAATGTTAAAATAGGTTAATTGACGACTGATCCAATTACATTAAATATTATAAAATAATTTTACAGCTACCAGGTATTTTTTATGAATTTACTAATAGTGATATGTTCTCATTTCCAGTACTTGGACATTGGCGAGGATATGAACGTGCCCGATGACTTCACCCAAAGTGAGTTGCAGACAGGCAAGTGGTGGCGACATCTGTTAGCCGGAGGCATTGCAGGAGCAGTCAGCCGGACCTGCACGGCTCCATTAGATAGACTCAAAGTATTTCTACAGGTACATACCTATATACTTCTGTAGTATGATTCACTACTGTGAATTTACGTACCCTCACGTTATTCCTTCGACAAAGTTAATTTATTCAACAATAATACTATAATATGCATGATATTATGATAAATAATTAAATTCTCAGAAGTATTCCCCAACAGATAAAATATACCATACTAGCTTTTGTCTGCTAGTTTGTAATTCCCATGGGAATTTCGGTAAACTCTCTCTTAATGCTCCCCTACACTCCCCAAGAAACATAATATATGTTATGTTTCAGCATCTTCAGTCTAGTAGTTTCGAATTGCAGAGTTTTATTAGTGTACGCAGAACGTACCTATTATCAGTTTATGTCAATGCTTAATAAGTTGTGTATTGTCAAATGATAAAATCTAATATGTGACGTTGTCGATTTTCAGGTTAACCCAATTAGGGAAAATATGGGTGGATGTTTAGTAAAAATGATAAATGAGGGAGGTATTAGCGGCTTATGGCGAGGTAATGGCATTAATGTAATTAAAATAGCACCCGAATCGGCCTTGAAGTTTGCCGCCTACGAACAAGTGAAAAGACTTATAAAAGGAGATAAGCGAGCCAATCACCCCTTGGAAATTCATGAGCGCTTTGTAGCTGGTGCAATGGCGGGTGCGATGGCCCAAACTGTGATCTATCCACTAGAGGTGTTGAAAACAAGATTAGCTTTAAGAAAGACGGGCCAGTACAGCGGGATACTAGACGCTGCAAGGAAAATATATTTAAGGGAAGGGCTTAAGTGTTTCTATAAAGGATACATTCCAAATATATTGGGCATAGTGCCGTACGCTGGTATTGACCTTGCCGTCTACGAGACACTGAAGAAGAAGTACATAAGCAAATACCAAGCTCACAACGAGCAGCCAGGCATGTTGCTGTTACTGGCGTGTGGCAGCGCCTCCTGCACGCTCGGACAAGTCTGCTCATACCCTCTGGCACTCGTCCGGACGCGATTGCAAGCTCAAGGTAACATACATTATTTATTAATTCTCTTCAAAAACCCAATACTTAAATATATTTAAAACGAAAGCGATATACTGTTTAAGTACCTTATTTGCCCAAAAAGATTCAATTATCCTTTGTGCATTGGGGCCACACGTTAAGGATCAAGTAGCGTTCAATCAATGTTTGACTCGGACACACTGGATCGAATCACAACCAATCAACGAGCAAGTACTGATTCGATTTGTATTGTTAAGACCACTTACATGCAAGCGTTCGGCTTCTTTGCTGATGCAAAAAGAAATTATTCAATTGATTGACGCCGGTCACATGTTATGCCAACACTTAGTTGTCGGGACAAACATGAAATGATACTCATTTGTATGTCTGAGAAGAGTATCCTGTTGCTCTGTGGAAAATATCAGGGATATTATTATGATAATAAATAAGTAGTACAGTACTTGACAATAAACTTATGATGTAGCGTAACCTTTACAATTTACGAAAAACTGTAGTATCTAACATACAATAATTTTAATTTGACGCAAAATACATATACTTCCATCCTGATAACATTATCAACACGTCTATCTTGACACAGATAAGTTGACGTTTCCGTGTCCGTAGATTATGCGTATATTAAAATAGTTTCCCCAAAAAATCATCAATATGTGATGATGATAAAAACTAATTAGATACCTGTTTTTAGTTTACTGAAAATCGCGAAAATCTATTTTTGTGACCGATGACCAAGTACTTAACTTTTTCTCGGGTCGCATACATGACATTTTTACATCTGTAAACGTTTTAAATGTTCCTATCAATTTGAAACTGATTGCGAATTTGTACCCTGTTTCCTACCGGACTAAAATGTTAAATTGACCTTGAATCCTTCGTTGAGACTCTAAATAGCTTGATGTTAGTCTTCGATCTATACTGACCATCAATTTTTTGATTCCAGAAAAAGCAGCACATGGCGCGGAAGGCACAATGCGCGGTGCGTTCCGCGAGATAGTCCAACGCGAGGGCTTGAGGGGTCTATACCGAGGCATCACTCCGAACTTCATCAAGGTTATCCCGGCCGTGTCCATCTCGTACGTGGTGTACGAGTACGCGAGCCGGTCGCTCGGCGTGAATATGACGTGATCGCGCCGCAGGCCCGCGGCTGCTGACGTCACGCGGCCGGCACGCGACATCCCCGTCGCGACCGTTCCGCCCCAACGCTCGAGCTCAAACTCGCATCACATTCTAATTTAAGCATATTAGCAAATTGCATTTCGTTGTACATAGCTCTTGTGCATGTTAAGTCTTATTTATTCTGTGTACGTATGTGACATATTCCAATTTATTTAATTATTTCGAAAGGATATTGTAATCGTTTAAGCTTGTAATTATGTAGCGAACCATTGGTTGCATTTGGTGGTAAAATTGAGGTGGATAGAGTAAAACGACACCGACCAGAAGTCGGTCACACAACCTGTGATTACAATAAATTATGTATTTTTTTATTTTATTTTTATTTATTTTTCTATTTATTATCCTCACGCACTCTCTCTAATTAGACCGTCCAATTATATAACAAGTATTAAGTTTACAACAGCATTGTTGCCCATCTGATTTGAAAGAGTGTCGTCGTCTCAAAATGAAACCAACTAATATTCTATATAAAATATAGAATATCTAGACGGTTTAAGTTTTTGATTCAAATATACCATACATTATGGGGGCGTATCCTTTAGTATAAAGCAAGCATACAGCTATACTATACACGAGGTAAAGCAAGAGCTGTGATTAGTATAAGCAAAATGTTTGGATTAAATTATATAAGGTTTAACCTTACTGATGTCTCAACATAAGGTTTTTAAAGTGGTGGCCGAGCATCTGAGAAACTATAGGAGACATTAGATACATCTGAGAACAAAAGTACAATTACAATATCTACAATATGGATAACGATTAATATCGACTAACAATGGTCTTATGCACCGGTTCTAGTAGCAACTTGATTTTAGTCACGAATGCTCTCTATTTTTTTGCTTGAACGTACAATTTAATCCTGTTATGCTTCTATTATGCATACACCCTGTAGTTACAGTGTAGGGCACGCTCTCACCACAGAAACCTCTTCAACCATAGTATCAATTGCAAAACAATGATTACATTTTATTCTTATTTGTTTAATAACTTATGTTGATACAATTTGGTTTTTACTGATTTATAATCGATACAGTATTCCAACTTAGCTTAATTACCTTTAAAACAACACATTTTTTCTGATATTACCTAATCTAATCCAATACTTTTAAAAAGGCAAAATAAAATAAAAAAGCTCCTGTCTCTTTCGATGTGCAATCTATAAGTAACTATACAATTGTTTTTATTAGGTAGGTATTTAAAATTGTATAATGCCTTTCTTACTGTTTATCCCTTTAGATATTAGAACAAGAACTATAATAGTAAATTTTTCCTCTTTCTTAATATTGAGTGTTAGGTAGGCTTTTCAAATTATTACAAATTAATCGAATATTATAGGGTTAGTATTGCCACTGTTTGCCTATATACACTGTTAATATTGAATTATACACTGTGAAATCTACATCGTTTTCGTCCTGAAGTAAAATGGTTTTGTGTTGGTAATATAATACTTTGACAAAGTAATAATAAGTTTGAAACAACAAATAACTGGTGAACCATTGCATAAAGCAAACTTCGAAAGCATATAGGAACTCATAGTATATTAACAAAACATAACGCCATGTAATTCTCGAAGAGGTAGTTCTCGTCGGATGGGACGTGCGATCCGGAGTGCCTAGTGTTTCGTGTGCGTAATTCCATGAAATATTTATTTTATCTAAAAGAAAAAGATGCTTTTTATATTTCCTTTTTAAAATACATCGAAAGTACTAATAAGGGCTAGTAATTTTGCCGCGGGAAGAAAACGAAATAAATTTCACGGTGGATGTTTGAATGGCCACATGTGAAATGCCCGTGTAACTTATACTCCGACATTCGTTGATGGTAGACCTGAAGACGTCCAATAGTTCTGTAATATGTCAAAGAAGGTCGGAGTAGTAATTTGATTGGGTATTTTGTATGGGTGCTGTCAGTAGTGTTTGATGTTTACCTTCATAAGATTTCGCTCTTGATGGCTTCATCATAAACACAGAGTATAAAATCCACTTGATACATGTTTATTAGAGCCTTTAAGCTCTTGTTTCATTAGCTTGTCGAAAGATGCTGCATAATAGATAGGTCATCTTGGGCAGTTGTATATTAAAATAAATACTTCATAACTTATTTACTAACGTTTTGCTAACTCGCGTCAACTATTTTATTAAATTTTATGTATATTGTTAATTAGGTACTGTTCTATTCACTGTTATTCTTCTGTTATAGCATGTTTGTTTGTTAATGTGAATTATGGATTGGTGTGAAGAGATCTTCGTTTATCAAGGTTGTGGAAAAGCTCTCATACTATAATAATAATATGCCACTTTTTGGCCCTGTGTTTGGACTACTAATACTGAAATAAGAAAGCCGATTAAAACCTTTTTAATTTAAGTCCAAATAAACCACTATCCTGTTAAGTTTCGTGTTTGTTATGTCTTATGTTCTTATATGTATGTGTGAAGTACTATTCTAATCAGTTCATGAAATTACATAACTGATTGCTATCTTGTTGGGCATGTGTAAAAATTAGGAACATGATCATGAGAAATACAATTTTCATACTTTATAAAATTGTATTACCGCCAGTTACACAAAAGGTATTTATTAGATGCAATTTATTCTGTGTTGCACAATTACTAAGATCTTAGATGGAAGAAGTAGTCAATCTTTAGTCAGCAACTGTTTTCCTGGCAGTCATTCTGACCTACATAGTTAATTATGTTATATAGACAATTAGTAAAATTACAATTTTATTATTATTTTTGTTATAATTCCAAGGTTTACACCTTGTTTATTAAAACACGGTATGATTAAACTAGGAAGACCTATTCTATCAATCTAGAATTCACTTATGGCGTCAACGTCTTATCGATGATTTATGGGAACTAAAAATTGATCGTAATTTGTTATATTTAACAATATTTTTAATTATAGCTACACTGGTTGTTATTCGTCTAATTTGTTAAAGACGCAATATCGTAATTTGTAGTGTGTTAAAATTTAATGCAATTTTGGTGTAATTTAGTTTTAGATCGTAAATGTCGTGTAGCTTGCTAGCTAGGGTAGGTAGAAACAAATTTCGTAATGTGCTTTTAAGTAGTATTGCTAGTTTACCTTTTCCCTACCTAAAATATGGTATATTTTAAATAGTGTTATACCTCAATCTCAATGATGCCTTCAATTCAAGCAATACTGATATTTATTTATACAAAAGGATTGCAAGCAATGCACTTTGTGGATGCAGCAGGTACATGTAGGTACGTAAGTTTGCAGGCGGTACGGTAAGACGTAGAGGGGGCCTAAAATACCGGTTATCGCATTCTGCTACAGAGAGAATCAAGTACCTTAACTTAGTCAAAATATTTTTGCTAATCAATTTCAAATTCATTCTAATAATTATTAATTATATCGATATATCATAGTTATTCAATTAAGATATATTCTCTATACATTATGGGCAATATCTATACAAAATATTTAATGTTTTAGCTTAAAAGAAAGATGTGTGTCGAGATCGAGAAGTATCTGAATTTGACTTGAAACTATTTGGAAATAGTTAGCATTCAGAAATTAATACAATACTTTATCTCGCACTTAATTTCACTGCATAGTGGGGTATAAGCAATTATGCAGTAAACCAGTGTTCTTATTAATAATTATTATTGTTATTAATACAGATAATACAAATTTTATATTGTGTATCCAGTATGCCTTTTATCTCAATTATTATATTCTCATTTTACATTACTGTGAAAAATACAATTATTTTGTTGGAATATTTCAATAAATAATTATTGCTGTTGATTGATATTTACCCGAATAAATAAATAAATCTTATTTGTTGTTTAGTTTATCAACCAGTACCCAACCTAACAAGTAATTATATATCTACACTAATTGCTTTATTACGTATTAAGTGGTTCCTGTTACCACCAAATTGATACAAATATTTCTTTCCTAAAATTCTTAAAACCTTTTTTTATTTCTTTTTTTGTATTTGATGAGCCAACGTATGTCTACTATCTCGCCTGGCGGTAAGCGATAAATATCGATTTTTAATTCAATTTTCTAGATTAGCAGTTGGGTATGCTTTTTTGTAAATAACCATAATATTTTAAGGAATAGGTAATGAACAAACAGGATTATAAATTGAATATATTTTTTCAAGAGGTTTTTCCTCGAAAATTGGAACAAAGGAATTCGAAAACTATCGAGCGTCCTCGATCACTTTCGAGAGTTTCTCGAAATCAATCGAGCGTCCTCGATCTGTTTCGAGAGTTACTCGAAATTAATTGAGCGTCCTCGATCACTTTCGAGATTCACTCGAAATCTATCGAGCGTCCTCGATGACTTTCGAGAGTTACTCTAAAACTATCGAGCGTCCTCGATCACTTTCGAGATTCACTCGAAATCTATCGAGCGTCCTCGATCACTTTCGAGACTCACTCGAAATCTATCGAGCGTCCTCGATGACTTTCGAGAGTTACTCGAAAACTATCGAGCGTACTCGATCACTTTCGAGAGTTACTCGAAAACTATCGAGCGTCCTCGATCACTTTCGAGAGTTACTCGAAAACTATCGAGCGTCCTCGATCACTTTCGAGAGTTTCTCGAAATCAATCGAGCGTCCTCGATCACTTTCGAGAGTTACTCGAAAACTATCGAGCGTCCTCGATCACTTTCGAGAGTTTCTCGAAATCAATCGAGCGTCCTCGATCAGTTTCGAGAGTTACTCGAAATTAATCGAGCGTCCTCGATCACTTTCGAGAGTTTCTCGAAAACTATCGAGCGTCCTCGATCACTTTCGAGAGTTACTCGAAAACTATCGAGCGTCCTCGATCACTTTCAAGAGTTTCTCGAAATCAATCGAGCGTCCTCGATCAGTTTCGAGAGTTACTCGAAATTAATCGAGCGTCCTCGATCACTTTCGAGAGTTACTCGAAAACTATCGAGCGTCCTCGATCACTTTCGAGAGTTACACGAAATGTAGTAGTAGGTATGTGTAGTATCCTCTATCATGTTTGAGAGGTAGCAGGAGACTCTTTGTAGTATCGCGTCGCTTTGTCGGGATCTTCTGCCACCGTAAGGGCGAGTCTGCGGTAGGCAAGCAAGGATAGCTAACCACCTGACAAGTACCAGACCCGAGCGTACGTAAAATGCGGGCCTCAAAGAGCCATTAGACCACTATATTGTTACCTTGCTGGAGTGTAGGTTTTCATATGGGTTCTGAGGCCCTGGCATTGAGCAAGTGTTGGAAGGAATGGGGTGGTTTTTAGTTAGTAAGAGTTGTAAAAGTCACTTCCTCAAGAGTCATTTGATGACTTTTTAACCACCCAACCAAAAGAGGAGCGGCATAATCGGTATTTGCACGCTAGCGCTCGAATAGCTTGCGGCGGGGCTGGCGGCATCATGAGCGCCACTATGTGATACAGCCACATATTGGCTCGTATGTGGCTTTTTTGAAATAGAAAAATTACATTATAATGAAAAACCATATACCTAATTTGTCCAACCCGAGAATCGAATTCAAAACTCGTACTCGCTAGTTTTTTTGAGAAATGAGCACTGCATAAGGTTAAGTCTTTCTTCATGGGTCAATTTAATCGTGTTCATAAAATGGCCCCTAGTAATAAAAATATATCTGTTTAGGGTCTTTCCTTATTGCTTAATTAGGTTATCGTGGTACTGTATCACTGACACACAATTTAACTCAATCATAGAGGGGTACATAATTTCATCTGCCGACTCTCTCTGTTTTCCTTTAAAAAGAAGAAGGGAGACAGAAGGACTGACTCTTTCGCATTTTTAAAATAATAGTAGGTACCCAGGGCCGTCTTAAGACTACTCTGGGGACCTTGGGCTCACAATAATAATTTAGGGACCCTTTTAAATGATTATTTTTTTAACGTTACACCACACTAGGATTTTCTCCCGTATCGTGGGTGCATTTACAATCACATATGCGCATGACACCCAAAGTCCCAGACCAGAAACAACAATTTGTAGATCAATCAAAGATTTTTTCCGTGCGGGAATCGAACTCGCTACATGTTGCGGGGTAGCCGCTTATCGCACAATGTGAAGCGAGTGTGTGTACGTCGTAGAAATAATTGTCGGTCTTTAAGGAGCCCCCTGAAGATGCTTTCGGAGCCCTGTGCAGGGGCCCCGAGTACCTTCACGGTAGAGACGGTACTGTATGTACCTATGGATAGATTATTAAATACACAAAAACACTTAAATGGGACCTTTTATACATTTGCGCCATATGATGAGCAAAAAGCCTTAGCCCCCATTATTAATTTATCCTATCTATCATTTTATGCACAGAAATAAAGGACACTTATTTATACTAAAATGACCTACTCTGTGAACTTAAAAAATCTAAGACTTATTTTCAAGACAGCAATATTTTAGTATATTGAACACAGAAGAAGAACAAACTATTTTCTGATTTTATCACATGGCAACGACCAAAGATCCATTGTCTCTGGTTAAGTGTTGCCACCATAGAGACCATGTCATTTAGATTCTCAATTCTTTTGGTAATTAAGAGTGATTTTCTAAATATTTTCTTTGAAAAATATATAGTTTTATTAAAAATCAATAACTTGTCGCCTTTGTTTTTCAGTCTAATAAAATAATGTTGAAACGGAACGTTTTCAGTCTAATATTTCAAGATAACTGTAATTTTCCATCTATATTTTATTTTATCTAAGTTTTCCATTCATCAGTTGGCAACATTGTTCTGCTTGACATTTACTATATCTGTGAATTTTTAAATGTCTTTCTTTTTATTTCAGCACGTGTAGACGCTGACGACTTGCTTATCATCTCATAGAACTAATATAGGTAATAATAAAATATTCCACTGTATCCACGTGAATTAAGTGTAGTGATTGCTCTATAGAATATTATTTTCGTGAAATACTAAATCTTGCGAGTTTTAAATAAATTATATTGATGAAATCTAAAGCACGTATTGTAAGTGGTATTTTTTGTGTTCGTGTTAATAAAAAAATGGCATTGATCAGGTAACCAAAATGCCGTCTGACGCAAAGAAAAGGGCTCAACAGAAGAAGAAGGAACAGGCGAGCAACAGGAACAAGAAGCCCGTGGCCAGAGTGACAAATGACGAGAATGGTTCTACTAACGGCAGTAAGGAAGAGCGAGAGCTCACCGCAGAAGGTAAACATCACGGTGAAATTTGATATTCAATTGAATTACTCCTTTATCATAATTTACTTGCGAATTGCTATGTGCCTTTAAAGAATTTGTGATAACAGACAAACCTTTTCTTGGGTATTCATTCTGACGTCTCGCAATATTTATTATTGCCGGTCTAAGGGTACTCATGGATCGATAACTGAAGCACATGGCACTATTATAAAATGTTTAACTTAAAAAATACTAAAATAATTATAATTATGGACTTATTCGAGAGATCATTGTAAGTAACATTAACATAAGTATGATCACCGACCTTCTGGTTGGCTTATGAGTCATCTCTATGGAAGGGAAATCTGTTTCTAGAATAAACTAAAAGTGCATTAGTATTTGGATATAAACATAACCAAATGCTTGCTAGTATCGTAGTGTTGGTTCGGTTCTTGGTGTACCTAATTTTATAGGTTAGTAGGGTAAGGTTTAGACTTGTATGCAATTCTGTATCTAAAAGTAAAAGAAGTATATTATTATGACAGAGTTTATTGTAGTAGAATGGAAATCTAAGTATTTATTTTCTGTTGAGAGTTTGCAATTGAGCCCTATATGCAGAACTGAAGGGTATAATTTTAGCCTTCAATTAAGATAAATCGAAGACTTAAAATTACTAGATGGTTATAAGTGTATGCTGCTGTATAGCTATGTATGTACACCTCTGTGCAAGTAAACCTGTATGCAAGAAATACTACAGCTATGTTAACCAATGAGAAATAAAATGTTCATCTGTATTGTTAACTGCAGGTATGTCATGGTCCAACAGTTTACTGGGTTTACTTACATCAGTACTATTGTAAAATAAACAAAAAGTTTAAGAAACTTGTACTTTCACCAAATTTAAATTGAAGCTCTATGCTGTTGCAAGCAATATTTTAAAATGCTATTGGTAAAATAAATCTACTTGGTCAGGATTGGCCAACCTTGTACCACAAGTAGATGATTTTTGAGATGTGTAGACGTGTCATGAAATAAATTATGTTATTTTTTTACTACTAGCTTCTGCCCGCGACTTCGTACGCGCAATCTCGTTTTCTCCCGTTCCCGTAGGATTTTCGGGATTTTTTTTCTGTCATAACCTTCTGCTGACAATAATAAACAACAAAAAAAAATCAGCCGAGTCTCTCTAGCTGTTCTCAACTTATGGCATGATAGATGTGATTTAATTATTTCATGTTCAGAGATGTGCCTAAAACATCTTGTTGTTTGCCATCAGCACTACTCGAATCAATGGAACTCCGTCACCAACCACCACCACCACCACCACCACCAACAAGCTTTTTTAACATGTGGTTTAGAAACCCTTCTATATACTCAACAAGGGCCACTATCCACAGTGCCTAATCAAAGATCATATTGTACTTGTAGTATCCTACCTACCTAAATAGACCTTTTATAAGTTTATATTTTGTTGCAGAGGCGCTGTGTCTTAAACTTGAAGAGGAGGCCAAGATGAACTCAGAAGCGCGATCATGTACTGGTTCGCTTGCTGTACATCCGAGGTCTAGAGACATCAAGATAGCCAACTTCTCCATCACCTTCTATGGAAGTGAACTGCTGCAAGACACCCTTCTCGAGTTGAATTGTGGTCGACGATATGGTCTCGTGGGATTGAATGGATGTGGTATGTAGAACTTTAGTATTTCCATGCAAATCGTTCAGTTTTATGTACGTCCGTTAGTTTTACTATCATTTTATTTATGTGAGTAATATGTTACGGAGGTTCATTATTCTCTTTCTATAAAGAAAGCTAGCGATGTTTCAATTAATGCATATAGTACCTATAGTGATTAATTTAATCCTTTTATAATGCAATTAAGCGACAATATTCTGTTGTATGACTAGTATTTTCTCAAATACACATCGCCTGGGCTTACTTTAATAATTTATGTACTACATATTTGATAATAGCTGACAATAATAAGTAGTCACTGCCTTAAGGCTGGCGCTCACTGCCGGCACGGTACAGCGTGGCATGGCAAAGGATTTTATTACTAATTGAGTTATTTTGAATCTTATGTCAATTAAATTCATGTTATGTTATTTGACACGGCACTATGCCGTTTCATTCCACGGATTGTCGCAGCTTGCCATAGCATCTCGGGACTTGGAAGACTTATGAGATTGCTAAGTTATTTGAAATAAGGTTGTAACTAGGGCATCGGTCGTGGCACAGGCTTTCAGTAGAATGCCGAGGGGAACCACGGCACGCCGGAGCTTGCTATGCCGGCAGTCAGCGCCGGCTCTTACTCATTGACTTACACAATAGTCTTACTAATCAATAACATTCTCATATTTGCTACAGAAACTTGACGTGTCATAAATAATGACATCATTCATTTCTTATGCAATAATTATTGAAAACTTCCGATTTACGCCTGGAATTAAGAATTCAAATCGATTTTTGATATCATAGTTCTATGGAGTTACTTTCGAAATCTGAATCAATCCAGAGATTGTGGATAAAAATCTGTTATTAATACAACCATTAGACTGATGTGTATAAAATTATTTCTATTGTAGTTAAAATTATTAATACTTATTTCCTTGATAGTAATTCTAAATTGTTCGCTTAATATTCGAGGAGTCGAAGATCGATCTGATTGTTTAGGTTCTAGAATTTGCCTAAAAAGCCTGACCAGATTTAAATACTGTTATTGCAGTCTGCAGTCTAATTTTAACGTTCTTTGTCGTCTGACCAATTTGATCGGCGATGCCTCACTATAAAACCATGCTTTGAGTAACGGTATTTCATGATCGCAAGACGCGTCACGTCGTTCTAATTTAAGCATTATGGTTATTACCATAAAGATTTGATTTGCACGTTTGTGAGTTGTTTCTTATCAAATGTTTCGCCGGTAAAGAACTATAAATTGTTGTCAACCATAAACATGTCTGACGAAGAAGTTACCGTCGTATAAAATCCTTTTACCGGTTTAGTTGTTTCAGTAAGAGCATCACTGGCCAGACGGAACAGTGATTTTATTACAATATAATTATGTAGATCTCATGTGTTTTGTCCAAAATTATAAACATGGCCGTTCATAGGTTTAGGTATAACATGAATAATAAAAATGCACTCCTACTATTCACGACAATTCTAAAAACTATATAAAAAAAATAGAATAGACAAATGTTTTTGTGACTACCGTTATAGCAGTGTGGCAGTCTAACTTGCATTTATTGATCAGTGCGAACGCCATTGACCCATTTCTGTGAAAGCGTTACGGTCGCGGTGCAACGGTGCGCTCTGAGAAATTAAAGTTGCATGGCTGTACGGAAAGACAAATACATCACGGACAAAAGGTAGTTAACTAGTAATGTTATATTGATTAGGCCTTTTTGGACGGAAATCTTAAACTTATAACTCAAGAACGGCAGAATAGATTTGGCTGAAAATTGGTAGGGAGGTAGCTTAGACCCAGGAGACCGACATAGGATACTTTTTGACCAAAATTTTTTTTTTACTTTTTACCGAAAATCACGAACGGTTACGGGAAAAAATGGGATTACGCGTACGAAGTCGCGGGCAGAAGCTAGTAAAATTATAAATGCGAAAGTTTGTTGGTATTGGTGAGTATGTTTGTTATTCAATCACGTCAAAACGGCTGAATGAATCGGGATAAAACTTTGAACAGGAGAAGATCTTGGTACTTTCTATCCCACGGGAACAGTACTAGTTAAAGATACAGCCATAACAACGCCATCTATTCAGTAAATGACATATAAAGTATGGGTTCTTAAGAATGGAAAATTTTATACACTGCTTATCAACCTTGTTACACCGTATTTGTCACATATACATAAGTACGTGTCGCACATGGAATAGAAACATCTATCATTCATATGTACCTATTTATTTACATAAAATGAATGTTTTCGAATACTTTGATGTAGCTCGAAAATCCATGTCACGATCGACCGGTGTACAACGTATAAAGGTTTATACTGTTTGTTTCGCTAAAGAATATGAAATTTGAATTCAAATTGTGTTATCATAATTATCAGATAAATGCTCGTATATTATCACACCCGACGAAACATAGGCGTATTCTGCGTTACTTCCTATAAATGTGTGAAAACGTGGTAATCCTCTATTCTTATTGATTGAGAACAGATTTTGTATTATGTGATATTGTAGTTGCGTGAATGTGGGTCTATAGTATATTTCATTCACGACGATATCAATCATTGTCTCTGAATAACGAAGTTATATAAGGACTGGGCTACTATGGGAATTTAAAAGAGTTTTTTAACCATCTCCAACATGGTGTGTTAACAAACATTATTACAAGCTTCCGAAACAACTAGTCGATCACACAAAGTGTTGCTCCGTGCGGGAATCAAACACGCTATACGTTGCGCGGCAGCCAGGTGCTTAGTTATCGCGCCAACCGTGCAGCCAAAAAATATTGCATTTATTGCACCGTATTTGATCCAAACACTATGCGTATGATTGTCTATTGCTATTACGAAACAATTGCGCATTTTCCTATAGAAATCTATATATATAAAAGAAAGTCGTGTTAGTTACACCACTTATAACTCAAGAACGGCAGAATAGATTTGGCTGAAAATTGGTAGGGAGGTAGCTTAGAGCCAATGAAAAAATGGGATTACGCGTACGAAGTCGCGGGCAGAAGCTAGTATTGTATAAAAGTTGTTCGTGTTCCTACTTAGTGTATTTAGAAAGTTATTAAATATATAGGGCAGCTCTATCGAGGCTTGGCTAGTTTTTTATAACGTTTTGTTGGGTACATTACCTGTTATGCCATTTTGAATTGGCCAATTCGATTCGATTGTAGCAATTCAATGCAACACAAAAAGCAGTTAAATGATGTTTAATGTTATAAAATATGGCGCCGTTTGTCTTACAGGCTGGACAAATAGCAGATGAGCTCACGAAGGGGTTTCGGTAGTGCGTCAGATTAATATATCATTTTGTCTGTTGAAACGGCTCCCGGTATAAAACACAATCACCTTAAACCCTACCCTAACTGATCACACGGGGAAATAAAAAAGTAATAAAAGTTGAAGTAAACACGGTCAGTTTCGTCAGATTAATAGAACAGAGGTGATTAGCATGCTTAAGTAAGGGCATTTAAAAAATCTGCGCATTCATTTCTAAAATTAAACTGGTATAATATTTAGTTTTTATTCTGCTGAAGGAATGTATTTTCATCATGTAGCATCGCGGTTCCCGCCCGCAGATGTAGATGCAGACGCTCATGCAGCAGAGATCAGTCGCGGTCACGCTCGACCACTAAAACAATAATTACGTGTAATAATTTTAAAGATCTGTCGATTCCCCTTTCCTCCACCAGTGGAACTTTCTTTCTATCACCATATTATCTTCAAAAAACAGTGGTTCTCTACTACGCTCGTGTAATTCTATATTTAGCATCGTGGGTTCCCCCTACTTGGACTTAGATTTTTTAAATGCCATGATGCTATGGAAGTTGACATGGACTTAAGTCAGTACAGCTGCTGTGTGGATGTGGCGCACGTATTGCTTGCTGTGTTTCTGAAATGTGTTGGCTACGCTGTGTTGCGTTGCACTATCTTTGCATCCAACAACCTATATAATCCATTAGTTTTATCAACATGGATAAATTCCCTTCATTTATGCATGACTTCTGGATCGTTGCCAGGTTTTATTGTGACTGACACACCAGTTACGAATATCATAATAAGTTGTTTAACATAATTCAATATGCTTCACTATAATTAGTTATAACAAAAACTCCTTCGGTTTCATATAATGTACTACCTAATGTTGTACATAATTTCCAATAGAAAACATACATAACATCACGCCTTTTATCCCCGAAGGGGTAGCCAGAGGTGCACATTATGCCACTGTACAATGTAACACCCAATTTTCACTATTTATGTTATGAGTCCCATGTTATAGGGGGTGAGCCTATTGCCATATACCGGGCACAATTCTAGACTCCGTGCTACTACTGAGAATTTTTTTAAAACTCAGTAATACTTTGCCCGACCCGGGAATCGAACCCGAGACCCCTTGCCCGGCAGTCGCACTTGCGACCACTCGGCCTACGAGGCAGAGGAGATTTCTCTGGAATTCTCCTGTTAGTTACAATCAGCCATGAGTAGATGAAAACAGTGTTCTATTATTATGAATGTCTTTTAGAGAAATCCTGTCGATTAATTACGCTTAAAAATATGAAACAATAAGATCAGTAATATATCGGCGAGAAGAATATTTAGCACAGGAACCTCGATTAACTATTGAATATAGTGTCGCGGTATTCATAGATGTTACAATCGATTGTCTACACAGAAACGCGACTTCGGTTGTGACGGACGGGCGCGCTGCTACAGTCTGTAATTAAAAAAACAATTGTGTAGTGTCGTTTGATCAAATAATTTGAAATAATTTTACTGCACGTACTTCAATATCTCCATCATGATATTTCGGGCTCGCGTTTTGGTACTAGTTCACGATTTGAGTAAACCGACTCGCGTACGTGTGAGGTTCAGAGTATGTAAGTGTAAGCAGTCAAAGCGTATATTTTCCAAGTCAACAGTTCGAGTGTGGATGGACATCTACATGTACCTGGATGTTTGTGAATGTGTTACCGAATGCGAGTGTCACTGCACCTTCGAATTTATACTTGTTAACTAGACAACGCTATTTATTTAGGTACTATACCCTTCGCTTAAAGGTACACAACATTTTATTACTAATGTGTATTTAAGTTATTTAAAAAAAATGCAAGTAAATTTCAATAATAATAGTTTGACGGCACAGTGCAGTGGCTAGGCAACCGACTGCCGTGCAAATTGTTGCGGGTTCGATTCCCGCACGGTGTAACTCTGTGTGATCCACAATTTGTTTCTTACAACATAGGAGAAAATAATAGAGAAAGGCAACGTTTTTTTAAAAATATTGAGGTTTAAGCTCTCGGTCGTTATAACTACAATTTGAAATTAAATTTTTCATTGGGTCAGTTGAGTAATAATAGTCTAGCGCGCAAAACCTGCATATTACTTATTCTGGTTACTGAATAATAAATGCAGAAACAACTTGGTGCCATCAGGTCACTGGACAGGCCTGTAATTTGCTCGTCATTAAAAATGACAATGACGTGCTTTCTAAGTCACAATGTTGAGACAAGTTAAAAGAATATCTTTATGTTGTATTTTAAAACTACGATCCTATTTTGTAGTTAAATTCAATGTGAGATCGAAATCGGTCGCGACAATTAACGAAGTCTTTAATTTTACTTACATAGTTAAATTTTGGATGCTAATGATGCTCGGCTATTTGATTCACGGCGAAATATTTACATTGCATTTATTGCGTATTATTATATGTATTTTCTTAAGAATAACTTTCTTCCTATGCTATTTTATAACTGGTAATATATGTACAAGATACAAGGACTTCACCTTAAAGTAATACATAGACTAGATTTAATTGAATTCAAATTAGAATTAGTCAAAAGTTTATTTGGTGCTGCTGTTGTTTACGTTTCATGATAACTTCAAATTAACATGTATTTAATAAAATATATTATGTCAACGAATTAAGATCCTTTTCAAGGCAGTTAAAAAGACATTTTTATGTACTGTTTTTAGCGAATATACTATATGCTATACCGAACGACGCGCGAAGAATTGTACAATTGTTTGCACAGCCCTTTTTATTTTTTTTGTGTTTTTTGATGAAAATAAAGTCTCGTTCTACAGGTCGAAAATGCTGTTGCCTAGCGTGTTGTATTAAGTTCCGTTGACAATTCAATGACGTAGTCTTCTTCTACTTCTTAATAGCGCTCATCCATTTATTACAGGCGCCAAAAATTGTTTTCTTTTTTAAATATATTTTCTGATGAAATCTTTGTTAATTTCCAGGCAAGTCGTCGTTGCTGGCTGTGCTAGGTCGTCGCGAGGTGACTATACCCGCGCATATTGACATTTTCCACCTGACGAGGGAGATGCCCGCCTCCGATAAGTCTGCACTTCAGTGTGTCATGGAAGTCGACGAGGAGAGGATCCAGTTGGAGAAGCTCGCCGAAGAGTTGGCGCAGTGCGAGGATGATGGTAAATATTGTTGTATAACAGCGAATATATACGATCTTCAATGTTCAATTATGAACAGGATGTGTTACATTACGGTTAGTTAAGTTAGACAAAAACTTAACAGTAGCCTACATGCGCGTGGATGGTATTTTCTGTAGGTACCTAATTGATTTACACAATGTGTTGTTTTCCAGACGCTCAGGAACAGTTAATGGACGTGTACGATCGACTGGAGGACCTGAGCGCCGACACGGCAGAAGCGCGCGCAGCTAACATTCTTCACGGTCTTGGTTTCACCAAGGAAATGCAACAGAAGGCAACAAAGGACTTCTCTGGAGGTTAGCATTCATCATCATTAGCTCATGAGAATACACTGTTGAATTTTTTGACGGCACGGTTGGTGCGATGGCTGGGCAACCGGCTGCCGAACGTGTCGCGAGTTCGATTCCCGCACGGAGCAACTCTTTGTGTGATTCACAAATTGTTGTTCCGGGTTTAAATGTTATGTGTAAAACAACACGCCATGTAATTCTCGAAGAGGTGTTTCTCGGCAAGTGACACGTGTATAGGTATAGGTAGGTACTATTGATTGCGTTATACAAAGTTTTTAAGAATGTTTACTTGGTTAGTTGTAGTCTCGATAATTCTCAACAAATACTATAAATACGAGAGTAAGTAGGTTTGTTACCTCTACATTTAATCTACATAACCAATCTTTCTGAAATTTTGCTTATATATGTGTGTAAACTATATAAAATAAAATAAAATAAAATAAAATAAAATAAATAAAATAAAATAAAATTTATTAAAAACAACATAGAACACATTTAGAATTACAGTTCGCTCAGATTTTATAGTAATAAAAAGTCTTAATAATAACACTCGTAATAGTTTACTTAATCTAGTCTTATACAATATACATGCGAGGAAATAACGTTCTAAGTATATATAGGGATTACCCGAACTAGGTTTATTTAAACCTGTGTTTCAGGCTATCAATGCCAAAAAAATGATTTGATGGATATAATTATAAATAAAAAAAAAAAAAACCAAAAAAATTTAAAGACCAAACAAGGACAACCTGTCCTAAAATATGAAACAAACAACACTATACTAGATATTAAACTGTCAAACACCAAGCGGTCACCGGTGACCGCGACCTATTGTTCTTTAATTGTGTCTATAAAACCGGTACTCGACGAGTTAAAGACGTTGTTTCCTAACCTGAAGTTTGATCAAAGGTTGGCGTATGCGTATCGCGCTGGCACGTGCGCTGTACGTGAAGCCTCATCTTCTGTTGCTGGACGAGCCCACCAACCATTTGGACCTCGACGCCTGCGTGTGGCTTGAGGAAGAACTCAAACAGTAAGCATGCATGATTCTAATTATTAATTTTGTCAAAAACATGGAACAGAATTCGACATTGTGACACCCGACTCCTGAGGGTATGGAGGCAAGTTGTGTCTGACACAATACGCAAGTTGTGTCTGACACAATACGCAAGTTGCGTCTGACACAATACGCAAGTTGTGTCTGTCACAATACGTACCACTTACGTCACGTCATATCTTTTTTGCATACTTAATTCACTGAAAATGGGTAAAAATAAAAAAATACCAAACTACACTTAAAGAAATATACGAGAGTATCATTATTTAATAAAAGTTAAAATATTTTTTATTGAGTCATCATTGAAAAATTTGAATCGCGACCTATTTTGATGATAAATAATTTAGGTAATATTTCTACTAATCTTGATACGTTTTGTCATTTGCAGCTACAAACGCATCCTCGTGCTGATATCTCACTCGCAGGACTTCTTGAACGGCGTGTGCACTAACATCATTCATATGAGCAAACGCCGACTCAAGTACTATACGGGCAACTATGAAGCCTTCGTCAGGACTCGTATGGAACTGCTGGAGAACCAGATGAAGCAGTACAACTGGGAGCAGGACCAGATCGCTCATATGAAGGTCGGTTAAACGGGATCTACATGGTGTTTCATATAACAACTTGCTTGCCATTAAAGCCGAGTACCAATAACCAAACTTCGTCGGAATCCGTCTCGTGTTTTTTCCTTGAAAGAGTAACAAACACCTCCATACCATCCATCAATAATATGACTCTTTTTATCTAGTCAAATTCAATAATTATTTGCATCGTCATTTCTTAGTACACCAGAAACAACAAAAACAAGCGGCTACTGCTGACCTCAGGCCTCTTCTCACTCGGAGAAGGTTTGAGCATTAAACACCACACTTGCTCAATGCGGTTTGGCTATTCCAAACTTATAATTAGAAATTATAAGCCCAGGTTTCCTCACCGTTTGTCAGTGGTGTCTATAATTATAATCTAAGAAAGTACATGTAACTCGGAAAAGTCACATTGGTACTTGCCGTCGGTAGGTTTTGAACCCACACCCTCATGCATGGGACTTGCACTAAAATAGGGTCAGAATAACAACTAACTGGATTGTTAAAAAAAATACACATATGGCTGTTTTCACTAACGATCCTTAAATTATCTCTTTAACTAAAAGTTACTTCGCGTGAATTAGTACCGCAATTGACCCCATTTAAGGTTAGGTGTCACTTACAGATAGGTGAAAACCAAAATGACATTATGTGTGACATAGCTTGGGCGTTCCCTAAATCTTAGGAGAAGTTTATTAAAACTATTCTAACAATATGATAGTACTTATATATAATATAATTTTAATGTGTTTACAGAACTATATTGCGCGGTTTGGTCACGGTTCCGCCAAGTTAGCCAGACAAGCTCAGTCCAAGGAGAAGACACTGGCTAAGATGGTGGCCCAGGGATTGACGGAGAAAGTTATTGATGACAAGATCCTTAACTTCTACTTCCCATCGTGCGGGAAGGTGCCACCCCCTGTTATTATGGTGCAGGTTAGTATCTACATTTAACCTACTAAATTTTTATTAAAAGACGAGAAAATCTGTTTCCTTTTACAATCTGCATAATAGATAGATAACTAGTAGACAATAAGGTCGCCTTCTAATGTGTCAGCCCACTTAAAGAAGTAAACATTTTAGATTTATATGACCGACACTAGTAATGAATTTACCTTTAGCAATCAGAAGGCAAATGATTGCATTAACAAGCACCCTAATTTTGTGCATCAACATTGACAAACAAAAAGTGGTGTTTTTGAGCTGTGTTGACGATGATGTTATATTATGTTTCAGAACGTATCATTCCGGTATACTGATTCTGGCCCATGGATTTACAAGAACTTGGAGTTCGGTATCGACCTCGATACACGTCTCGCACTTGTAGGGCCCAATGGAGCTGGCAAGTCCACGCTCCTTAAATTGTTGTACGGAGACGTAAGTATCTTGCTCATTATCTTATGTTTTGAACAAAAATTATGAGTACAAATGTACGCAAATTTCAATGCGAAGTTGTGTAAAAGGCATTCAATGATTTATTATTATCTTTTCCTTTATCACTACATAGTATAAACCAAAATCGCTATCCGCCGTCTGTCTGTCCCTATGTATGCTTAGATCTTTATACTACACAACGGATTTTGATGCGGTTTTCTTTAATAGATAGAGTGATTCTTAAGGAAAGTTTATATGTATAATACTTGCACATTGCGCCCGTGCGAAGCCGGGGCGGGTTGCTAGTTATATATAAAAAGCTGAAAAGTTTGATCGTAGGTTTGTGTAAACGCACTAATCTCTGGAACTAGTGGTCAGAGTTGAATAATTCTTTTTGTGTAGGATAATCCTTTTACGATTACTCGTATTAACCTTACGGTTATAAACTACTAAACACTACTCTGCAATCAATCAGAGCCTAGCAGGGCGGGAATAGTTAGTCACTGAGAAATCTGTGAAACTGTATGTATAGTATGTACACACTTTAATATAGTATGCATCAATACCCTCGTATAACCGGTAATCGGGGCTCCGGCTCGACGTGCAGGAGAAGGAACGGGGTGGTTTTTAGTCAGTAAGAGTCTGACACTCCCTTCCGCCTCACCCAGGCGGGAGCAGTCATTCGATGATTTTCCCACCTTAAAAAAAAAATACCCTTATATACCTGGCTGCCGAAAATTAACGATGTTTATGTAATTTAGTTTTCAATCACTTTAGTCATACCAATAATTAATATATAATGATATCAATGTCTCTTTGTGTTATTAACGAAGTTTACTTCTTTTTTTACAGCTGGTCCCGTCCACTGGTATGATCCGTAAGAACTCTCACTTGCGTATCGGTCGTTACCACCAGCATCTGCACGAGTTGCTGGACCTAGACCTGTCACCGCTCGACTACATGATGAAGGAGTTCCCTGAAGTCCGGGAACGGGAGGAAATGCGCAAGATCATCGGACGATACGGACTTACCGGACGACAACAGGTCACTTGATTACTCCAGTGCCGTTTATTTGGGAACTAGATTCTATTCACGATTTCGTACACATGGTGACTTACTGACTTATGACTTAAGGCATATCTTTGTGTCTATTTTGTTGTTATTTTTATCTGAGAGAGCCACATTTTGCTACGAATGTGCCTACTATGTTTCCGTTGTATGTCGCTGTGTGAATAGGAACAGATCAACCGTAATTAATTTTCTTAAAAATGATAAGAATATTACGATCCTTTTGTCTGTATCTATAAGCATAGTTATTGTTACTAAGCAACAGATATTAGATTAATTTTGAAGAATTCAGTGTTTTGATAAGAATATTATGCATTGTATTCGCTTGTGAGATCTGAATGAGAAGGCTATAAGATTATTATGACTACGTAATCTATTCGATATGATAATAAATAAAAGGTAATTTACCCAAATTTTTGTGTTTACAGGTGTGTCCGATGCGTCAGTTGTCTGACGGGCAGCGGTGCCGCGTTGTCTTCGCCTGGCTGGCGTGGCAGACACCACACCTTCTACTCCTTGACGAACCTACCAATCATTTGGACATGGAGACTATCGATGCGCTAGCGGACGCTATCAACGATTTCGACGGTGGCATGGTACTCGTTAGCCACGACTTCAGGCTTATTAACCAGGTTAGTACAGTGACAATATCTTCATGAAAATATTCCCATTCCGTAAACAACTAGCAACGCTCTTGTTACCCATATAGTGTTGTAAGTGTCGATCGCTTACCATCAGGCGATCCGTTTGCTCATTTGTCATCCTACGCCATAAAAAATACTCCTACACTGCGTTTTAAGGCCGCCCATTGTATATACTGTAATTTTATGCTGTCCTGTATTTTTTATGAGGTTTACGATAAAGTATAAACAAATAAATATAGACGATTAAGCAGATTTATAAATTTTTGTTCATAAATTGCATTTATGCTCATAAATGTTCAGCTGAAGATCAAGGCGTTTCAGAATTCTATAATATCTTTGCTAGCATTGCCATTATGTTTAGGCATAATATGGGTTTTAAAAATCTCAGTAGTAGCACGGAGTCTGGAAATGTGCCCGGTATATGGCAATAGGCTCACCCCCTATTACATGGGACTCATAACATAACTAGTGAAAAGTGGGTGTTACATTGTACAGTGGCATTTAGTGCCGTAATGTGCACGTGATGTTATATTTATGTTGTTATGTATAGGCAATAACAACAATCGGTACTTATTTTGTACAATACATAGACGTAATCATGTATTTGCAAGTGATCACATTCATTCATTAGACTCAGCTTCCCTTAATTTCTACTTACAGGTTGCAGAGGAAATCTGGATATGCGAGAATGGAACCGTCACGAAATGGCAAGGTGGCATCCTCAAATACAAGGACCATCTCAAATCCAAGATCATGAAGGAGAATGCAGAGAATGCGAGCAATGCTCGTAAATAGTCCAATATCTAGCTGTAACCCTTAGATTATGTTCGTGCGTCGCGCGACGCTCCCTCTCCACCTGCGACTGATAAACTGGCTGCTCATGACAATCTTGTGTAACAACAACCATGTGAAAGCCAGTGAAATATCATAACAACGCAAATTCTGTTAATGCTAAGGTCACCCGGCCGGCCCGACACTGGTGCAGTCAGTTCTCTGATCAACGTCTTGTTATTGTGAGCACTACTCGTAAGCAATTATATCTTAACTCGTGAAACTAAGCTATGTTAAGGGAACGCTTCAAGGTAGCCCGCGAAATATAGATTTTCTTAAGGTTTTTGCATTTTATAATTCGGTATCGGCTAGTAGGATGAAAATCTATATGCACATTGTGCATGTGATATTAAAAATTCCAATCATTAATTTCATTTCTGTCAGTCGAAAGCCTATGAAGATTTATACAAATTTTCTTCCCCTTAGGGGCGGAATTTACCAAAATCTTAGTGGCGGCATCCGCCTACGTCATAGTAGCTTTATGCATTCAAAGTCTCAGCCCAATCGGTTTAAAATTGAGTGTCATTCAAACTATCTTATGCCCTTGGGGGTAGAATTGATTAAAATCCTTTCTTAGCGGATGCCTACGTCTACCTGCATGCCGAATTTCAGCCCGATCTGTCTAGTGGTTTGGGCTGTGCGTTGATAGATCACTATGTCAGTCAGTCAGTCAGTCAATCAATCACCATAAGTCACCTTTGAATTATATAAATATTTGTATTAGATATTCGTGGTAATAAAATACAGTTTTACTTGTTTAAACCATTCACATAACTCAGTAACTTGAGATTTCACAGGCTACCATGAAGCACATACCTTAATATTACAAAACACTTAACATATTTACTTAATAGATTTTACTTAAAGCACTTAACTGCATTCATCATTATGAAGAACAGTTCAATATATTTTTGTTTATTTCTTAAATCGTACAAGGGTTTGTCTAGCAGTAGTCTAAATTATCTGTAAAAAAAGAATATTCCGAGATTTAATATATCCATGTTATGTACATTAGTAAATCGAAATCTAAATTGAATACTTCAAAAGTTAATTTTTTAAAAGCAACTTCTGTATCGGTAATGTTTGTTGATATCTGGCGACATTGTCGTAGTATAGAACTGCGACTAATGTGAAGGCTGTACTTAGTCACAGGTGTAGTAGAGATTCTCGCTCAGACCAGTTTGTGATCGACAATTATTATAGGATTGTGATTCGTTAAGCTGCCTATTGAAGCTTAGTTATCTAGTGGTATTTAAATAATTATGTGATATATTTCCCAGAGGACTTAGCCGAGCGCTGGCCAGATTGAGCAAAATGTGAGCAAACTGACCATAGCTGTGTTTGATTATAATTTATATTATTATGTTAACCATCGCCCGGGAAATTCTCACAATATTAGGACACTTACATTTGGTTGTTCACATCATGTAGTGAAGGCCCACACATTTTATAACAAACTATGATAATTACAATTTATTACAAATTGAATTTAATGTATTCATTATTCATTGAATTTTATTTATTACAATGATATACATTCATACATACTATTTGGAATATATATCAACCTTTTTGTAACCACTTTTACAAGTATAGAAAAATGCTGGTTCTATTTTTCGACATAATTTAATTGCCTTAATTTTTCTCTACTAACAACAAAATAGCGATTTCGTTTTTAATTATGGTTGACAAATTAATTGTGAAATTGGGGTACTTATTTTTCATGGTATGATTACTAGCAAAGTAATTTATGATTATAGGTAATGCATTCTTGAAATTGTTATACTTAGATGTAATTGTATTTAAAAAAAAACGAGAATTCAACCTACATGTAATCAAACCTTTTTTGGCAACAATAATTTATAATCTTAGTATTGAAATAAAAATGAAACTTAGTCAATCGTATTGTAACTACATATTTCTAACATTGAACATGACCATTTCAATTTTATATGCACATGTTTAGATTAATATGCATAATATCCGAAGTACCTAATCTATAGCAGTATTTAGAGTAAATAGAACGGTAAGACCAGTTCTCTCGCGAGTGTGGCGTGTTTTGAAACTTACTAGTGCTGCAAGGGAATGTGATGTAACATTTGAAAGCGCCTACAGGAACGAGGGCCGCGTGGTTGTCGTGTCGTGTGGCAAGCGACCAAATGTATGATTAGAAACTCGTGAACTGCGTCATGGTGGTAATTAGATGTAATAGTGAATGTTTCTACTTACATAGGTAGCGACACGGATGCCTTCAAAATAGATTTTGATTACATTAATTTTATTCATCTTATTTAAATAAAAGTATCCCTCGACTACTCAATGACTTAACTGATCAATCTATACAAAGGAATCTACAATAAAACTGGGCTCATAATGTTCTTATTTGTTGCTCTGCCCTTTTTATAAGAAATGTAATACATAATCACTGTACTAGGTATTTGTTTTAATGGAATGTAGTTTGGTAATGGCAAAGCAGGTATTAAAAAAAGGTATATTATATTATGTCATTTTGGTCTATATTGTTGTTTTGGCCAAAGGCCTATCATAACAAATGTACTGATGGAAAATGAAATGAGGTTACTTTCCAGAATGATTGTTGTAAATGTTTAAATTTCAAAATATTATCTTTTCACTTTACTGATAAATTGATATATGAATTGTAAGTGTGATTCTTAAATGACTCAACTAACATGTAAAAACATATTTTTTCTTATAAGCCATAATGAGATGAAATATCATAGTAATTCTCATTAACCCTAATATCATGATAAACCAGTATAGTTTTGTCTTTGAAAATGTTATTCTACAACAAAATCAAACACTGTTTGTTTGCAATATTCAAATATTCTGCAGGGCGTGTGTGGTTACCTGTGTACCTGTATACATAAATGTATCTAATTTGAATGTTAGTCTACTGAAGTTATTTTTAATAGAAAATGTCTTACAGCCTGCTCCTCACCTGCGTAATAGTATTAACTTGTATTCTATGGGGTTTAATTGTTAAATTTCCATTTCTAAAAGCTTGATCTGAAGCAAATTTATATGAATCAATAAAATAATACACATGGATACCTAGTGTTCTTTATTTCTTATCATTTATACAGTGAAATATAGTAGAGAAAATAAATGTTATCCAATTACCTAACTTTAAAATATTAGGATATTAGGCCAGGCCACTGTCGGCCACACGAGCAATGCGGTGTCGCAATCGCAATGTTCTAACGGTGCCGCTGCGGCACTGCACAGGCTTAGCTTAGCTCATAGACTATACAGCTTAGCTTGTCCTGTTGACAAACAGTCTACAATAAACAATGGATCGAAAAAGCCGTGTGTTGCTGATATTATATGCCCATGTCTATAAATTCCACACCAGCTCTAATTTTTTTGTGACATACCTACACGTAATTATCATCATTGCCCCGCTGTTCGGACGCGCCGTGTGGCATACCATACACCGGAGCAGAACCGCACCGTGTGGCCTGTTCCTTGGTTTATAGTACGAGGTCGACGGTGGTACTAAAAATAGTGACGTGTAGACGGCACATTGTTTGTGGAACTGGTCATCCACTAAGGATTCCTTGTCCAGAATAACAGTTAAACTTAAAAATAGGTTTCTCTTGGTTTATATAACAAAGTTACAATCCATGCGAATCTCGGAACAGTGTGGCGTTTGAATTGACAAAAAGGTCAAGAACAAAGTAGGTGACTGCATTTATACTCGCCCGGGGCGAGTAATATTTTTATTTACATTTTCTAGTCTGGGTATTAGATTATTTTAATCACAATATTTTTACATTTTAATTGACCATTGACCATTGTAATTGATTTTTTTAAACGTAACAAACAACAAACAAAAATTCTAATTAATTTCAATATCAGATCAAGGACGTTGAAAAAAAAATTTACTACATTTTTTTGAAAGTTGTCTTTATGAAAGTCCATAACTAAACCTTGTAGTCTCATTAATTTATTTCATTAAAACTATTGTTGTATTTATATTTCGTATGTTTTTGGTGAATTTATGTAGCATTTCATCGAACATTTCATCAAAAGTATTGATTTTGACTTAAGTAAACCGGAAATGGTTTGTGGATCACGAATCACGATCATAAATCATTATATTGAATGGCATTGGCAAATGGCAATATTGGCATTTGGTATTGATGGCGGATTAGCGGGATGGCGCATACGCGCATAGCGGTCACCCTACCTGTGAAATTCGGTGAGTTTTAAATTGTCAGACAATCTACCGAGTGCCTAAAATTGGAGTCTGCACAAGTGTAATGGAATGTATTATGGGGCATTTAACTACTAGACTCTTTGAGTACCGTCATTATAGACGCAATTCACACAATTATAGAATAATAGGTTGCGGTCACCGGTGACCGTGCGGTGTTTGACAGTTAAAATCTAATTTATTGTTCTCATAATGTTGCAGTTTTTGGTCGTCCGAGGTTCACAGATGACATATCGCCGATTGCTTACCATCAGGTGATCCGTTCGCTCGTTTACCAGCTAATTCCATAAAAAATTGCGTCGACGTTATGTCAATGGTAATGAGCATCCAATCCATCCCTGAGGACATCTATTAACTGCATGGTGATGGTAAAGTTTTCTTTCGAAGTCCAAGTAAGTAAGTTTCCATCCTATATTTAATATAAAAAAATCATTGGTTTGCTATGGGGTAGTTGAACATCAAGTCGTGCTTTATGGAATAATTTGTTCAGTCATTAAATTTTTACCAAATGCTAGCTGCTGGTGTTATTGCTTGCTCGTTGGGTACCTACTTATTCCGCTTCTCGCTCGGTTTCTAGCCAATAATGTATACGATAAGGTATTCATTTGGCACGCCTGTTACCTGTGGTACATCTGCAACTGATGACCGCTGCACCTTCAATGGGTGGCTGTTAAATCATGTAACTAGGTATCTGCTGTATAAGCGACTTTGGTGACTTGTCATTTTA